AAAATAAAAATCTAGGTTTAATCTAACATCTGTAGTTATGACATAAATCAATTACTAATATAAAATCGGTAAAATATCGTATATAAATTCAATTCGTATATAAATTCAATTTGATAACAACTGTCAGTGTCAATTAGTATAAATTAGAATTTAACTAGTATTTATTTATACATTTTGTCAGTAGTAATTACTAGTTGCAACTACGGATATTATTAAACCCGATTAATGTTAACCAGTAACGTGTAAATGCAGGCAATGTAGGCACAGTAATGATATTATAACTTTAGATTCTTTGGAACACGACATGTAGGACTAATTTTCAATAAAATAATTAACTATTTTTTATTGTATATATTATAAACCATATTTGTTTAATAATGCAACAAAATCACAATAAAAATTACTATATAAAAACATACGATTTTTTAAGTTTTTAAATGCCTATACTTATAAGAATCAAATCTGATAACGGTTGAACGATGTAAGTACGATACAGAATCTACGATAGTTAAAGGTAAAAATAAGGAAATGAAACAGACAAAGATGAAATATTATGAATCAACTAACGGGCAGGACTACCAGCATTAAGCAACACCACCTGAGTGTATATAGATATTATTTTATCCTTGTTCAACATTCAGTGAACAACAGGAATGAAATGATATCAAAAAATATATAAATATAATAAAACTCTCGAAATTGTCAAATAAAACCATAAACAAGGGCTAATGAGAGTATAGTCGCTGTAAATTTTGCGATGAATAAGTTTATTAATTATTAAAATTCATACGTTTCGGCATCCATTCGAGCCATCATCAGTGCATCTTAGCCTTTACAATAATATTAATTACTGACCATTACTTGGCTCCACGAGAGTGGTCACTCCTTCCATCAACATCAATACGTGACAAAAGATTCGAAAAACAATTGGCAACGTTCGAGGATGTAGTTCTATAAATAGAAATAGACGCTACCAAATAATTCCAATACAATTATAAAATTACCAATAAATAAGACTCACCCGTAAAGCCAAAAATAATCAGCAATACTTATGTATAATGTATAACAACTCCATTAATTAAAATTATAACAAAAACCGCAGTCAATATACAATAAATTTCAAAATCAGATCTAATTGAATCGTCAATTATGAATACGTGGTACATTTTATGTCGACTCATATAACAACGAACACTCGTATGAATCTTCCAACAATAAACCCGCTCGAATTATACATTTATATAGATCGGTAAATAACATTTATGATGTGTAACAAACGGTAAAGACAACAATTAAAGGATATAAAGAGACTGTCTTACCGAGCAATGATAACATGAACTATATAATAATAAAGATAAAGGCTTCGAAACGACAATCGTTACAAATTATTCAGAATCGAAATATACGCATGGTGTAGAAATTCTGTGTCAGACTGTAAGTTTAAACCATTTTTTTATAATTGTATGTGCACCATTTCTGATATTCGTCGTTTAAATAAAAATCTTTCATTATCCATAATCTCTATATTGTCCCAGTCGAAATCGTGATTATAATTAAGTCTATGTTCTGTAATTACCGAATGATTATTAATATTTTTTCGAATATCATTACGGTGCTCATTAATTCTCGTCTTTACTGTACGTTTAGTCTGACCAACGTATGAAGCATCACAATTATTACACTTGATCTTATATACTGCATTCTTTTTAGACATATTCGGTACCGGATCTTTATGTGTTTTTATAAAACAGCTAAGCTTATTGAGACTAAAGTAAGCAAGATTGACTTTATAATCCTTGGTAATGTCTCTAAATTTATCCGAAACCTTAGTTACATAAGGAAACGCAAACCACATATTGTTTATTACATCTGTGCCGTTATCATTATCACTGTTTTGCATCAACGTTTTTCCATGCAGTAAAGATTTTAGACGATCATTCATTACATTGAAAATAAAATCCACCGGATAGTCATTATTCAAAAGTGTCTCTATCACAAATAACAAGTTCTTTTTATGGTATTTAGGTACTGATAATAGAAAAGCTCTATCAACCATTCCCATAACAGTTCCCTTTTTCTGCGACAAGGGATGTTCAGAAAAAAAATTCAAGTATCTCCCCGAATATGTAGGCTTATGATACCAATCAAATTCTAAAGATTGGTTATTCTTAATGATAGTGATGTCCAAAAAATTCAACCTTTTTCCACCTATTTCTAACGTAAATTGTAAACGGGGATGAAATGAGTTAAAAACTTCCAGAATTTTTGAGGTTTTATCGAAAGGAGCACCCATGGCAATATCATCCACGTATCTTACATAAAATGGAATATAAAAACCTAAAGTATCTAACGCCTTCCTCTCTAAATCTTGTAACACAATATCAGCGATAACCGGAGATAGAGGTGAACCCATAGGCATGCCAAATTTTTGTCTATAAATAACATTGTCAAACGAGAAAAAAGTCGAATCAAGCACCAGTCTTAATGCAATAAAAAATTCATCCCTAGTAATATTCGTTAGCACAAAAAAAAAGCTGCAGTCGTTCTAGAGTAACAGAAGGAGAAGCACACAAGCGAAAGGTTTATACTAAATAAAACCGTTTATTCTAGATATTTTGATCTCCGTTATTTTTCTAAGCCCGTTCACATCATATTGTTTTAACAGGTTATGGGCCCAGTTAACGGTTAACTGCGGAAAAATAGTGTGAACGTGTACGAATCATTCCAGTGGTTGCACATGACGCGAAGTTCGGCTATATCTCCCTGGAAATCGGAGACGACGGTGTTGAAAACGTGCGACTCGGTAATTGAAATCCGCTATGTCTGTCGGCATATCTCTTAAGGGTGTGAAACCATTCGACGAGACAAATTTTCAGGGCTGGAAAGCTCAAATAAACTCGTTATTTGTAATGAACGATGTACACGATATCGTTGACGGTACGAGAGGAGAACCTGTCGAGGGAGAAGGACAAGCAGCCGCACTGAAGAAAAACGCGAAGGACGACGCAACGGCAAAATTTATAATATTGTCAAATCTCGAAGAAACTCAACAAGTGTGTGTGCTCTCGTGCAGTTTTGCGAAAGAAATGTGGGACAAAATGAGTCTAATTCACAAACAAAAGACTGTGACAAATAAGCTCGGTTTGCTGCAAAAGTTTCACGCGTATCGAATGAGCGAAGCAGACACAGCGGTTCAGCACGTGGCCAAAGTGATGAACATGGCGAGTCAACTCAAGGACGTCGGAGAGAAAGTCTCGGACGCCACAGTCATCGCGAAGATCCTCGCAAGTTTGACTACGAGGTTCAACACGCTGCAAATCGCGTGGGATAGCGTTGACTCTGAACGACAGACCCTCAATAATCTGCAGGAAAGGCTGATTACCAGGAGAAGACGCAAGGCTGAACGACGGCGAAGAAGCGTCGGAAGCACTGGCCGCGACCGCGAAAAATAGAAGCTCGCAAGGCAAGAGAAGTGCCAAGAACAAAACGCCTGAAAATAAAAAGTCAGTGCAATGCTACAAATGCCAAGAGATGGGACATATCGCGAGACAATGTCGAAACAAGCGGAAGCCCCGTGACGACGACAACAGGGCTCGCGACTGTGCATTCGTAGTAGAGACGGGCAAACCAACAGACAAGTCAAGTTCAAAAACCGCGAAAAGCTCGCGCGAATTATGGACGCAAAGTCACATAATGGCGGCCGACCAAAGCGAGGTTTGGCTGATAGATAGTGGTGCATCAAGACATCTAACTTACCGACGGGATTGGTTTACCGAGTACAAGACTGATAGCAGTGGCGCCACGATATCACTAGGAGATAATCAGACCTGCAATGTCGCTGGCGAGGGGACGGTTCAAATCAAAAAGTTTATCGACGGTGTTTGGCAGGATGCGCGAATCGAAAATGTGTTGCACGTCCCAAAACTACGAAAAAATCTATTCTCCGTCGGAGTATGTACGAAGAAGGGATTTAGAGTGCAATTCAAAAACAATTCTGTCGAAGTGGTGCGCGACGGTGAAGTGTTCGCGAAGGGCATAAAGCAAAACAACGATGTCTATCGCATGATAATAAAGGTCGCGAAAGAAGGAAGCGTGGAAGAGGCGAACATAGCCACAACAAATTTAACAGTGTGGCATGAACGTTTGAGACACGTCGGAAAACGAGCGATTCGCGAAATGGCGTCGAAAGGACTTGTAAGCGGAGTATCATTCACAGATAAAAACGAAGTCTTCTGTGAACCATGCCAAATGGGGAAAGCGCACAGACTGCCATTTAACAAACAACTAGAGCGCAATAAGAATATTACACCAGGCGAGAAAATGCACTCGGACGTATGCGGACCGATGTCAACAAACTCGGTCGGAGGTTCGAGGTACTTCCTAACCTTCAAGGATGAAGCGACCGGCTACAGACACGTCTACTTCCTGAAGAGAAAATCCGAAGTCTGCGAAAAATTCAAAATCTTCGAAAAGATGATCGAAAATAAGTTCGGTCGAAAAATAAAAACACTTCGTTCCGATAACGGTCCAGAATTCTTCAATTCAGAATTGAACGAATATATCGGAAAATGCGGAATCCAGCGAGAGAAGACGGCCCCGTACAATCCGGAGCAAAATGGGAAAGCCGAACGTGACAATCGGACGATCGTTGAGAGTGCGCGAACAATGCTAATTGCGAAGAATTTGCCATTAAGCCTATGGGCAGAAGCCGTAAATTGTGCGGTGTACGTTTTAAATCGAACCGTATGGACCAACGGTGCTGTAACGCCGTATGAAGCATGGACTGGGAAAACTCCAAATCTAAAGCATCTTCGAATCTTTGGCTCAGATGCGTATGTGCATATTCGAAACAATTCACACGAAAATTCGACGCGCGAGCGACCAAGAAGATCTTCGTTGGATACACGGAAGAATCTACGAACTATCAGATATACGATCCAGAGAAGAAAAAGGTTAGCATAGCTCGCAATGTCACTTTCAACGAGGAAATAGGTGCGCCATCGGTGGAAACAAGACCAGAACAACAAGAAAATAAAATAACACTTCCACTAAAGAAAGTCGAGGAACCAGCGAATGAGAACAGGAACGAGATCGACAGCGACATAAACAACGACGACAGCATCGAAGAACAAGAAGAGAACAACGAACAAGAAACTGACGAAAAAGAGGCTGAGCAAAACCAGGAAGGTCAAAAAATTTTTCGAGATCGATCGAAAATTCAAGTCCCGAGCAGGTACCGGCACGATGCAAACTTGGCCGAGTACATCATTCCATTAACGTACGATGAGGCAATGAATAGCACAGAAGCCACGCAGTGGGCAAGTGCTATTCAAAACGAACTTAATTCGCACAAAGAAAATAGCACGTGGAAACTCGTGACTATGACGCCAACAATGAGACTAATTGACTCGAAATGGGTGTTTCGGGTAAAGAAGGATGTCGGCGGGAAGGCATACCGATTCAAAGCACGATTGTGCGCGAGGGGCTTCATGCAACGAGAAGGGATCGACTTCAATGAAACATTTTCTCCAGTAGTCAGGTATGACTCTCTGAGATTATTACTGGCAACGATCACCATAAAAAATCTCGAAATAATGCAGTTTGATGTCCAAACTGCATTCCTGTACGGAGAGCTGGAAGAGACAATCTTCATGGAAATCCCGGAAGGACTGAAGGTGAAAGAAGATCCGAAATACATGGCATGCAAGCTCGAGAAGTCACTCTACGGATTGAAGCAGGCTCCAAGGTGTTGAAACCTGAAATTCAAAAAGTTCCTAAAGAGTGCGACGCGGACAAGTGCGTGTTCACCGGAAAATTCAATAATGACGAAGTGTACTTGGCGCTATTTGTCGATGATGGGCTGGTAGCCTCGAAAAATGTAGAGACACTTAAGTTAATTATTCATAGACTAAGCGAAACATTTAAAATAACTGTCGAACACTCAAATGTTTTCGTCGGGCTGCAAATTGAACGCAATAAAGAACGACAAACGTTAACGATACATCAAAGCGCATACACGCGAAAAATAATCGAAAAATTCGGGATGGCAGACGCGAAAACCGTGAGTGTACCGGCGGATCCGCACACAACACTATCTCCAAACGAAGATAAGGATGAAAAAACGAGAAACGTACCGTATCGCGAAGCAGGATCGTTGGTTTTTCTCGCGGCCGTATTGAGACCGGACATTGCGTTCGCGGTAAACGCTGTAAGCAAATATTTGAGCAATCACAATGCTATCCATTGGCGAGCAGTCAAGCGAATATTTGCATATCTGAAAGGCACGATCGATTATGGTATCGAGTATGCAAGCGGCGGTAGTGAAGTACAATTGATAGGCTTTTCGGACGCTGACTACGCCGGGGATATCGAGACGCGAAGATCCACAACAGGATATGTTTTCTGTTTCGCAAACGGAGCCGTCACGTGGTCGTCACAGAGACAGCGACTGGTGACCCTCAGTACGACAGAAGCCGAATACGTTGCTGCATCGACGGCAGCGCGCGAAATAACTTGGATACGAAAATTACTAACAGAAATCGGGGTTCTTCGTAATCAGGAAACAAAATTATTTGTCGACAATCAAAGCGCGATCCAATTAGTCAGAAACCCAGTGTTTCACAAAAGAACAAAACATATAGATGTCCATTTTCACTTTATTCGAGAAAAAGTAAACGCGAAAGAGATTACAGTGGAATATGTTCCCTCCGAAAACCAACGAGCCGACATATTTACGAAGGCATTGCCGCGAGACCGTTTCAGAGATCTGTGTTACAAGTTAAATCTAATAAAGATTCACGAGAAACGCTCAAACGGCGGTAGTATTAAGGTTTAATAAGTTCAGCGCATTTCTTATAGCGAGTGTACGCGCCTATAGTTTCATGCATGACTGTATAGTGCATACTCTGTTTGTCTTTCAAGCCGAGCGCGGTTCAGAAAACCTCGGTAATTTCCGTTCCTACCGAAATCGTACTAGCGATAACATGCACAGAAAAAAAGCTGCAGTCGTTCTAGAGTAACAGAAGGAGAAGCACACAAGCAAAAGGTTTATACTAAATAAAACCGTTTATTCTAGATATTTTGATCTCCGTTTTTTTTCTAAGCTCGTTCACACCATACTGTTTTAACACCCTTCCTCTCTAGATCTTGTAACACAATATCAGCGATAACCGAAGATAGAGGTGAACTCATAGACATGTCGAATTTTTGTCTATAAATAACATTGTCAAACGAGAAAAAAGTCGAATCAAGCACCAGTCTTAATGCAATAAAAAATTCATCCCTAGTAATATTCGTTCTGTTAGAAATCGAAGGCCATCTGAGAGAGATGCTGTCCAAGGCTAAATCAATGGGTATGTTCGTAAATAATGAAACAACGTCAAGTGAGATTAAGATAAAATTGTTATCTAACGTAGTTTT